CGGGGTCCCTCCCGGGGGGGGTGGGCCGGGCGGGCCCCGGGCGGAGCGGCCTCTGAGGGGCGGCCGGAGGTCAGGAGTGCCGGGGCGGCTGAGCTGGCCGCAGCTCGCGTCGGTATTAACCGGTACCGCTCCGAGAGAAAGGGAGCGTTTTAGGGGATTTCGTGGCGATTCGTGACTCCTCGTTAACGTGAGCTGGGTATTGTCGGTGCTTGTGACCGAGCCCCTTTTCCTGCAGGGCCGAGCTCTTCCCTCGGCAGCGCCTTATCTTGGTGCTGCTGAGCGCGGCTCTACCGGAGGGAGGGCTGCTCTCCGTCCGGGGCGCTGCGCCCCGTAAGGCCGTCGGACGGGTACCGGGGGCCTTCCTCCGTGTCCCGCGGGTGGGCAGCGGAGCCCCGGGCGGCGGGCGGGACCGCCTCTGGGCCGAGGTGGCTGCTCCCTGGCTTGGCTCCAGGTTATCGGGTCCTGAAAACAGCTTTTAGGCTCCCACCCTAAATCCCTACCGGCACTAGTCAGGGGCCAGACGGCTCTCGGGCTCCGAGTTAGTCTTTTTTCCCCTGAAGATGTATCGAAGTTGTTTGCTATTTTTTTTTTTCCAAGTCAGGAATCTTCATTCCTGGCCCATGGAGTGGACTGTGGATTGACTCTATTACTCCTGCTAAACCTGTCCTGGGATCTGGGGAGTGCTTCCTAGTAGTCTTATTGGAACTCGGGAGCTATCTGCTGAGATGGACCTGTACACACCTTCCATGCGTTTTCCTTCAGTATAGTTGACTCTAGTATATTGAACCTGTATGCTACAAAGAGTACAGTATATACGTCTAGATGAACGAGTTAAAATTGGGATAGGAAGACTAATTTTTACAGTGTTTTGTGAAGGTAAAGTCTGAAAAAAACCCTCTGTTGTTAGTATTCTTTCGGGCTTCTGGATTTTATTTTTTTCTTTTGCTTAGCGTGTCGCTAGCCTTTTGCGTAATGCCAAATGTCAGATGATTACACATGCTTTGTCAACAGTTTTGTCCTGTCATCTGAAACTACTGGCTGGGAACAGTGAGAATGAAAGTTGTTTAAAGAGCTTTTATGTAGTATTTTGAACATAATTTACATTTGAAGATCTTGTGTGTACATGTTCTTTCTGGAGGCTTTTGATATTAATAGTGATGTTGATTTTGAGTTTTGGTTTCAAGTTTTAGGTATTTTTCTGAACAGTTACTAGATTAAAATGTTTAGGGTTTTTTTTGTACTTTTGACTCATCAGAAATATCTAAAAAGTAAAAATTAAGATGGAATGTATAGGTTAGGCTAAAATAATGGATTAGTGGGAAAGGAACTCTGATTAATTTAACTTCTAATGGGATATTTTCGACAATTGAAAGGACTAGAAGTTCTTTTTTGGCACAATCAGATTGAGGTCGGTGGGTACTCATGACAAATTTTTTTGTGATCAACTTCCATACCCTCTGCTTTTTAGTTTGCGCAAAATGGCTTTGTTGAATATATGGACCTCAATTGTAAATAATTATTATTCCAATTTTGAAATGATTGGTTTTACCAGAATTACTAAACAGTCGCTAGTAGCTTGAATGACGTATTCACTTTTAAAAGGTTTGGTTAGAAGCAATTGGTTATTACTCTAGTCAGTAACTAAAAGCTGTTGTGTTAGATCGTGCTAATGCTTTATAGGAAGTTTTTTATATCTGCTGTAACTCTTGAAGATGCATGTGTGTAAAAGAGACGGATGTCTGTTATCAGAAGTGGTTGTCACATAATCTCCTTTATGAGCTCATTGGTTTTTTGTTAAGATCTGACAATTAATGAGTTGCTTAATTTAAAATGGGACTTTTTCTTTAAATACTTGAAAATAATAAAACAGTGGTAGAATCAGCTATTTCCTAAAAATATATGTTGTGTGTGCCCTACTTCCTGAATTAAGGAGCTGGTAAGTACTATTGATCTGATTGGAATGAGTGAGAATGCTCATTTGGAATGAAGCAATCACCACTAACTTCTTGGGGAACTTCATTTAGTGATAGACTGCGAGTTAGACTACACTTAATCAAGTCTGTTATTTAGACTTTTGATGTTTTAATTTGAAGTATTTTTGGTACAAGGTACATCACCAAAAATTTGGAATTTAAGATGACCTGAGGTCTTGATTGTCAAATGTAGTGTTACAGCATTTAAATATAAGGTGAAGTTCAGGTGTTTATGTTAATATTCTGTCATTTAAATCACTGTAAATTCTGTATTATTAAGTATTCTTTTCAGCAAGAAACTCTTATACTTTTGGATATGTAGCCTGCTTCATTAAAAGTAATTAATACTTCTAATTTTTTTTCCTAGTTTGGATGTACTTCCAAGAGTGACCTGCCCAAATCATCCAGATTCCATTTTAGTAGAGGATTACAGAGCTGGTGATATGATTTGTTCTGAGTGTGGGCTAGTAGTAGGTAAGTAGCTATTCATATTTTTATGAATTACCATATAACTTAAATTGTGTGTGTAGGTTTGTTTTCCCACAAAACTGGTATATGATAATTTGAGTATTAAAAGGCTTCTTGATGACTAAACATTTTCTTTTATGATATTCTGTTTGCTAAAAGCTTACTGTTTTGAATAGTCTGTCTTCTGGTAACTTCTTGCATTATGAAAAGAATCAAACTCTCTTTAAAGACTGAAAATTTAAAATATGTTGTAGTATTGAATTAGAATATTGTGCTGTCTAGTCCAGTATTCTGTCTTTAATCATGACTGTTGTTTCAGTCAGGAAAGTATTAGAAATGTAATAAAAGGTCTTTGTCAAATAACTTACAAAAAAAAAAAAATCTCAGTTTCCCATTAGTTAGAGGTTATCTTCTGCCCTGAAGGATTTCTCTTTATATCCTTGCCAGCACCTGTTTTTGTAAATTACTTCTCCTAAGGGTTTTAATACTATCCAAAGTAAATATCCAGTTTTTCCTCTGGAATTTTGCTGAGCTCTTTTGCTTGGTTCATGTGGCAGCAACTTTCACAGGCTAAACTGTATTTCTAAGTATAATGGAATATTTAAAATGAAAGGCCTTTTAGGCATTGTCTTTCTTTGAATGAGAGAGAGAGAGAGAATCATGTTGCCATAGAACATGCCACATTCATTTTTATGTGTCTTTTCTAGGATCAGCATCTTATTGTGCGTCTTGTTATCTGTATTGCTTTTGCATGGGAAACTTCATGCTCATGTTACGATTATTCTTTAAACCTTGTTTATTTCTGTTAAATTTTTTTAGACGTGCCATGACCAAAAGAAAGTTCTCTGTTTTGGGGGTGCATGTTCAGGTGATTCATTCAGTGGTGCTAAATATTTCAGATGGTTTTATAGCCCTCTCTCCTAGACTGTGCTGATTTTGTTTTGGCTCTTGTCTTGCACTGAATTAAAAATTTTTGTACAGATGTTAGCATAAAGCTAAAGGTTTAATAAGTTGCAGCAAAAGTAGTACTAATTTAGCCAGGTGACTAAAATATGTGTCTTTTGTTTATGCAAAAAGCAAACTTCCATATAGCTTATTAAAGTAAATGTTGAAATATGTAAAACTTGATGATCAGTTTCCTTTAAAATTATGGAACCATTTAAAAGGTTAGGGGGAGGATTGTTATTTGCTTTGGTAAAAGAAGGACTGGTTTAAATTGCATAAATCCTGATAAAGGTAAATGAATTGTAATAAATTTGCATGTTAAAAATGCAAATGTCTACAGCAGTATTTCCTGTTGCGATATGGTGATAGGCTTCTAAGTTATTGCTTAAAAATAGTTTGGTTCATGTTCAGCTCTTCGTGTGGCTGCCACAGAAGTTGAACCAAATTTTAGAAAAGCCCATCTTGATCAGTTCATAACTTCTAAGATAATTCTGGCTTTAGAAGAAGGAAGGGTTTTGCTTGGTACGTTTCATTTTTAGGAACTTGGGAGTTTATCAGAAATCTCACTTCATGTACCTTCTGTTACCTATTCACAAAGTATTCTTGCTTTAATGGTTTACTTTCTGGTCTCTTCTGAATAGCGTTGGAGATTTCTTTAGTTCAAGTTGTTAGCGTTTTTGATAAGCAGAATCATTAGAATATTAATACAAACGTTTGCTGAGTTGAATTTTTAAAATGTGTTTAAAGTCATCTTAGTCTTCTTTACAGCCAACATTACTGGTAGGGTAAAAAGTGTTTTTTCTTTAAGCATGCAGTGTTTTTTAAGTAGGCCTTTCTATGGATTTCTCACTAAAAGGCTTTAACATTTACTTTGGTTGTGCTGATTGTTCTCATTCTGTCTTGCCTTTCTTCAGCAATTTAGTTTACCTGCATATGTCCAATTCATTTGCTAGGGTATTTAGCAACTAGTTTGGAAAACCAATTAAATCAGATGAAGATAAATAATTGAAGAGTGCATGACCAAACAGAAGCATGAACATTCAACATTTTCTCTTCTGGTCTGATAAGAAATTTAGAGGAGGAGAAAAACAGATTCAATTCCTGATGCCTGTTTTCTGGAGATGCATGTGAAGTAGGGATGTTTTAAAGGAGTGAAGACAAAATTTTGTTTCCAAATGAGAAAACTTTTATGTATTTGTTGCAGATTCCGTGATACGTGTTCCCCTTAAGAGAGCAGTGATTTCATTTCCTGTTCTTTCATAGAAGAGTTGTGGATTTATGTTTCAAGGCTTACATAGGTCATGATGTGGAGCTGATGTGAACAGGGCCCGCTGAGAATATGTTTTGAGGTGGGCTGAAAGTTAGTGAGATCTTCATTGCTGAAGGGGATCAATTAGAACAGTTAAAAAACCCAAAAGACTCAATATACTCTGTAGCCAAAGAAGTGTTGCAGGTTTATTTAAAAATACTGTGATTTTGGTGTCTGCAGAGCACTGCTGGTGCACATGGAGCAAAATGGTAAATGCTGCGTTCGTGCATTTATTTTACTGCTGTAAAGTACATAGTGATGTGACTTCATTTATTTATTTATTTAGTACAATTTTGCTGAAATCAGAGCAAAGAGTCTTTGGCTAAACTAACTGTATTTCCACTTGATGTTTTCCTTGCTTGCTATGGCAAAGTACTAAAGCTTCACGTTTGTGGAAGAAGTGTGAGTTTGTTAAATGTAAAACTGTGCCATGGGATAAAACAGCTGGTGCATAGGTAATTTTCAGGTTTTGTAATTTATCTTCTGGGAATATGAGATGAAATCAGTATTACTAGTATTATGACTGAGGTTGCATTTATCAGGTCTGTTGCTGAAAGAGTGAAGCAATGGAAAAGTTTGGGGGGAGCAGGAGGCTAGGAGAATGAGGAGCTGATCTCTTTAACAGTTGAATTCCATGCCTTAGGCAGAGCTGTATATTGGAAGTACTGCTTTTTAAAGGGAATTTCGAGAAAGCTTTTTAATCAAAGTTGTTTTGTACACGTAGGTTTTGTTCTTAGTGTCTCAATAAGATCGAAATTTTAAGTTAAATCCAGTATCCTGCTTTTTCTTTGCACAGCATTTTTCACTTGTTCTATTTAGAAGCTGTGCTGTTTTGCTGTGCAGTATTAAAACAATAGTCTTGTAATGTCAGTATGACTGAAGCTGGTGGCTGTTTTATTATTGCGTCAAAATAGAGCTGCAGTCTACTAAAAACTCTCATCTGCTTTTTCACTGTTAGCTTTCCTGCGTTAGCTTGTGTTCCATCTTTTCATGGCAACTGTTTCCAACTTGTTAACTTTTCCTCTTGCTAATTGCCTTTTGCATGACAGGCAGAGACCTAAATTGCAATGTTCCATGGAATTCTGGTATTAATCTGGATTGACATGCATCTGAAACTTTACAAGTCTATGTTCAAGTTTGTCTGCTGTCATAAGTCTTGTGTTTTATTATACATACTTTTCTCAAATCATTCTAGGATATATGGTATGGTAAGTGTTCATGTGCTGGCTTGAGAATTCATGAGCAGAGTTCTTAAGGTTTGGACAAGTAGTCAGTTCTGTGTTCGTTTAAAACATTGACCATGCACCATGCCTCATTCTTCAGACAGACTTGGTGGGGGGAGAAGCATTTTGTTCAAGAACACAAGGCTAGTAAATCCTCTTTCTTGACAGGTAAATATTTTGCTTACTACCTTTTAGGCAGTAAAAAAAGGCTGGAAGTCAGCTGATATGCCAGAAGGGGCTGAAGAAAGCAGAATTGAAGTGGAATACAAAGCACTGAATTTTCTTGATGTAGCGAGGCGGTGAGCTGAATTTCAGAGGGGGATAAGAACGAGTCTAGTGGCATGTACAGCTGTGTAGCATCTCAGCTAGGTAGGAATACCTTTCTGATCTAAGACTTTCCTTAAATTTCTGTGTAATTTCATTAAATGTTGTGTTAGTGTGCAGGAGCTGGAGCAATGAGGAGTTTATTTTTAGCATTTAGTAAGTGATTTTCTCTAACTGATTAGCTCTGCCTGACACGTATCAACTTGTTAAAGCTTTGAATCAGATTATGACCTATATTCAGATGTTTATTCCATTTTCTGTACGTACCTGATGTATTGGGTCTGGCTGAGATGAAGTTAATTTTCCTCATGGCAGCCCTCATAGTGCTGTGCTTTGTATTGATAGCTGGAAGGGTGTTGATAACACCACCAGTGTTTTGGCTGCTGCTGAGGGGTGCTCGTGCAGCATCAAGGCTGTCTCTTGGGAGGGGACATAGCCAGGACAGCTGACCCAGACTGACCGAAGGGATATTCCATACCATATGACATCCGCTTAGCAATAAAAGCTAGGAGGAAGGAGGAGGTGGGGGGGCATTTGTGATTTTATGGTGTTTGTCCTCTGGAGCAACCGCTACATGTGCTGGGGCCCTGCTTCTTGAGGGGTGGCTGGACATCACTGCTGATGGGAAGTAGAGAATAAAATAGTTTTTTGTTTTCCTTTTGCTTTTTTTCCACGTGTGGCCTTTGCTTCTGTTTTCATTAAACTGTCCTCATCTTGACCCACAAGCCTTTTATTATATTTTTTTTCTCCCCTGTCCAGCTGAGGAAGGGGAGTGTTGGAGGCTTTGGTGGGCACCTGGCATCCAGCCAGAGTCAACACACCACACCTGAGTGTTCAGTTAAAGAATTTTGGGGAAAAGTGTTCAGTAGCTTGTGGTCAGCAGTAAGGCTGTTATAAAATTCTGTCAGAATATTCGGTTGGCTAATGCTCCTGAAATGTTTGAGATCTAAATGGTGCATCTTAAGTTCAGGTATAGCCTATGAAAAATAGGTAAGGTGTAACTATACTGCAGGTATTTTTTTCTCTACAATATAACAAATGAGTAGGAAGAGGTTTCACGATTGCCCCTCTGCTGGCCAGTCCATTACTGAGGATGTCTGTCATTAGGGATACGATTGATTGTGTCTATGCATAGATGCTTGTTTTCTGAAAAGCAAAGAAACCTTTCTTCAGCTGTTGGTAGTATCCTGTAAGTGGAGGAGGTG